TTCGCTCCCGCCGCCGGGGCGCTCGTGTTCGGCCATCCCCAGAGTCTCCCTGCCCTCCCTCCGCCGCCCGCCTCCCATCGCCCTCCCGCGGAAAACCTGCAGAGCGTGACATTAAACAAGGTCCTGAGCGTGTTGGGGAGGGGAAGCCCTCAGCCGAAACAGAGCTGCGGGAGGGGCTCTCGCACCCGCGTCGCCGGGAGAAGCCCGCAGGGACGGCTCTGGGGTCGGGACGCAGCTCCACGTGCTTGGTGTCTGGTCCTGTTCTTAACTTCCTCTTCTGCTGGCGGATGTCCTTCCTCCATTTTCCTCCGGGCGGAAACCTCTATCGGGCTGGCCGTGGCTGCTCCTACAGGCTTGCTTTTTTTTCTTTTTTAACCCCTAAATAAATCCTTTTTGCTGAATGAACACCTGGCCGACTTTTTACTTACGTCCGGCCTATTTGGGGCTCCTCCGGGACCCAGAGAAGACCCCTTGTCCCCGTCGCTCCAGGTCGGGTGAGCGGGCAGGTGCGGCGCCCACGGGGCCAGCGAAGCTCCCTGTTCTCCTGCTCGGCTCTGAGCTAAAGGGTAAGTCCTCCCGGACCCGACCTCCCGCCGTGTGTCCTGAAGCTCTGCAGCCCTTATCCGGGGCCTGGGGAGTTTGTCTCTTTTCTTCTTTCCTGTTAGAAGGCAGTGTTTGTCGGGCTCTCATTTGACACGTTGGCCTGATCCCCGGGGGACCGGGCTGTGTCTTGGGCGGGTTCTTCGTGCTGGTGGTTGTCAGCCCGCTTCTGTCTGGACCCAGACGGTCCCGTTGACACTGTCGCTCAGCCACTAGCCAGGCGGGGAGGACGACGGTAATGTTTGCTCTGAGACAGGCCAGGACCATCCCTGCCTCCTGCCAGGTGCCGGGTCCTGGACTGTGACCTGCACCCAGGAATGGTCCCGAACCAGCACCGTGACTCCTCCGTGGTGCCCTGTGTCGTGCCCAGTGCCTGCCCGGAGGTGCCAGGACCCACTCATCTCGCTGCCACCCAAGGCACGCGGTCCGTGCGCGTGGTTTCCCTTAATAACACCCACCAGTGTCGGACTGCGGGGCAGCCTCCTCCTCGGGTCTCCCCCGGACCTCTGCTCTCCGAGGCGGGTGCTCAGTGGCAGGGCCTCCCCCGGGTCTGCGTGCACTGACCACAGGCCCTCTGGGGAGCAGGCTTTCCCTCCGGAACTGGCTGTTGGGCCCTCGGCTTTCCCTCTGTGACCAGGCTGTGTTCAGCGGGACTGACCGGTACTGAGCCTGCAGGTTGCTTGAGCTGATGTAGACTGTCTGGGCCCTTGTTCCAGAGAAAAGTCTACTGTCTCAGTTATCTGGATATTTTCAAGGCCTCCCTCCTGCACGGACCCTGGCTGAATTTATGTTTAAAAACCACCGTCCCTCCTCATGCGTATTTTTAACTAAATAGACAATGTGACCAAAAGTAATTGAGGTTCTCAGTAGTTATGGGAAACATTTGAGATTCCAAAACTTAACTTTTTTTTAATATATTTTATTGATTTTTTACAGAGAGGAAGGGAGAGGGATAGAGAGTTAGAAACATTGATCAGCTGCCTCCTGCACACCTCCTACTGGGGATGTGCCGGCAACCAAGGTACATGCCCTTGACTGGAATCGAACCTGGGACCTTTCAGTCCGGAGGCCGAAGCTCTATCCACTGAGCTAAACCGGTTAGGGCAAAACTTAACTTTTTAAAAAAATATATTTTATTGATTTCAGAGAGGATGGGAGAAGGAGAGAGAGAGAGAAACATCAATGATGGCCCTAGCTGGTTTGGCTCAGTGGATAGAGTGTTGGCCTGCGGACTAAAGGGTCCCGGGTTCAATTCCGGTCATGGGCACATGCCTGTGTTGCAGGCTCAGTCTCCAATGGGGGGCATGCAGAAAGCAGCCAATCAGTGGTTCTCTCTCTCCCTCTACCTTCCTCTCTGAAATCAATAAAAAATATTTAAAAAGAAAGAAAGAAACATCAATGATAAGAGAGAATCATTGATTGGCTGTGTTCTGCACACCCCACACTGGGGATTGAGCCCCAAACCCGGGCATGTGCCCTGACCGGGAATCGAACCATGACCTCCTGGTTCACAGGTCAACCCTTAACCACTGAGAGCCATGCTGGCCGAGCATCCACACTTTTTTTAAAACTTAATTGGACAACCACAGCTCTGAAATGGCCAAATGGAACACCTATTTTGAGTGGCATTTTGAGGCTTCCAAACATTACCAGGAACCTGAAGTTGCCTCTTTGCAAAATAGTTTTGGAATTAACTGAAGCCAACCAAACCAGCTTCTGAAGAAAGAAGACAGCTTCAGAAGCCTCCTGTTCCTTGTTCCTGGTGCCGGCTTGGCTTCCACTCCAGCCTCCTTGCCTCTGGCTCTAGCTCCGCCCCTGGTGACCTCCCGGCTGGAACCTCCTCTCACTCCCTCCTCTGAACCTATCAGTGCTGGACCCTTTAAAGTTAAGCCTTCTGAGGGTCCTAATAAGCCCCGAGCTTCCTATGTCCCCTGGACGATAGACTTCCCCAAGGGGACTGAGCGCCCTCACAGAGCTGCTGACGGGCCTGACATGTTTATTCAAACCGACCAGCCCGGATTCTCCGCTTCGTGTCAGCGGTGTTTGCTGGTCCGTGAAGGCAGGCCCCACTCTGGATGAGACCTGCTGGATCGCAACGCCCTGAACGGGATTTCTAGCAAAATGCTAGGAAAGGTGGCGGGGTCCCCACTGAGCAGTTACAGCAGCCTTTCCACAGCCTGTCGATCGGAGCAAAATTCAGACTTGCTCCCCAAGTCAGATGCATCTGTGCCTTATAATTAACTTGATTTTGAGGAAAAGTCTGGTCTTCCCTCAGTTGTTGAAGCCACTCAAGTAGCCTTTACCTCTGTGCTTACTAAAGGCTGAACTAGCCCCGCTGGTGTGGTCAGTGGTCGAGTGTCCACCTATGAACCGTGAGGTTGGATTCCTGGTGGGGGCACATGCCTGGGTTGGGTGGTTGATGCCTGCATTGCCTGCTCAGTCCCCAGCAGAGGGCCTGCAGGAGGCAGCCAATCAATGATTCTCTCTCATCATTGACGTTTCTCTCTCTCCCTCTCCCTTCCTCTCTGAAATCAATAAGAAAATATTAAAAAGAAAAAGGAAAAAAGCACACAGGTCTGAGGTTATCAAAAGTAAGGATTTCTTTTCAGCAAAGGACATGGCAATGTTAGCAACACATGTACAATATTTAAAGCAGCCAGAGGTGCCTGTCTAGAACTGTGTTTGACACGGCCCCCCCTGAGCACATGTAGTTACCTCAGTTACACAACATTTACGATGCGCCCTCGCTGGTTCAGCTCAGTGGGTAGAGCGTCGGCCTGTGGACTGAAGGGTCCCGGGTTCGATTCCAGTCAAGGGCACACGCCCCGGTTGCTGGCTCAATCCCCAGTGGGGGGCGTCCAGGTGGCAGCGGATAAATGATTCTCTCTCATCATTCATGTTTCTATCTTTCTTTCCCTCTCCCTTCCTCTCTGAAATTAATAAAGACATATGTTCGCCAGCCACATTTCAAGTCCTTAATGCCTATGACTACTAGTGTCTACTGTGGGTCGATCGCATTGTGTTTGCCAAAAGACTATGTTAATATCCGGACCCTGGTACTGGTGAATGTGACCTTATTTGGAAGATGTCATCAAATTAAGATGAGGTCATAAAGTCACTAGCGTGGGCCTTAATCCAGTGAGCGGTATCTTCATAAGAGGAAGGAGGCCGTTCGGACAGAGGCAGAGGAGACGCTCGGACGAGAGGACCGTGGGCTCTGCACCCTTGGACACTGGAGCGATGTGTCCACAGGCCAAGGACCCAAGGTTGCCAGCAGGTCCCGAAGGTGGCGAGGGGCACGAAGCAGCTTTCCCGGCAGAGCCTCCAGCAGGTCCCCACCCTGCCGCCTGTGAGAACACGTTCCTAGTTTGTTGGTAATTCCGTACGGCGGCCCTCAGAAACTAGTACCGTGTAGATGAGGACAATCCCAGAAAGGCCTGTTGCACGGTGCTGACCCAGAATATTCATGGAACTCTTGAAAATCAAGAGGGAAGCCCTGACCGGTTTGGCTCAGTGGATAGAGCATTGGCCTGTGGACTCAAGGGTCCCGGGTTCAATTCCAGTCAGGGGCATGTACCTTGGTTGCGGGCACATCTCCAGTGGGGAGTGTGCAGGAGGCAGCTGATGGATGTTTCTCTTTCATCGATGTTTCTAACTCTCTATCCCTCTCCCTTCCTCTCTGTAAAAAATCAATAAAATATTTTTTAAAAAAATAAAGAAAATCAAGAGGGAAAAGTCACTGCAATGGAAAAACGTACAGAAGACCTGAATAAGCGGCGTGTCCCAGGGGACACGAGAGTGACGAACGAGAACAGGAAGCGACGCCCAACCTCTCGGTAATTAGAGAAAAGCAAATTCAAATAACACTGGGTTTCTGCTACACAGCCAACGGATGGGCGGGAGCTAGAGAACGGAATGCTGCAGGTGCTCATGGGAAATGGAGGGGTGCCCACTGCCTTAGCCATGAAGAACGAACTGGCAGTATTGGCAGAATGAAGTCGGCACACCCCTGAGACCCATCGTCCCCCACCAAGGGAAATCCTCGTGAAGGTCCCTGAGGAGGACGGTTGAGGGTCTTCATGGAACGTCGTGATAATAGTGCAGCTGCCTGTGTCCTCCCGGCGTGAGGACAAGTACGTGCGGAGGAGGGGCACGCGGGAAACCTGTGCAACGACGGGGAAGGAAGTATTTGTGTGCACGGCGACATGGAGGCCTCAGAGATGTGGCAAGAGCCCTGGCTGGTGTGGCTCAGTTGGGTGGGTGTTGTTTCACGCACCAAAAGGTTGCCATTCTGATTCCCGGTCAGAGCACATGCCCAGGTTGCAGGCTCCGTCCCCAGTAGGGGGCGTGCAGAAGGCAACTGATTGATGTTTCACTCTCACATTGATGTTTCTCTCCTCCCTTTCTCTCTCTCTAAAAATCAATAAAAAAATCTTTTAAGCCCTAACCGGTTTCACTCAGTGGATAGAGCGTCGGCCTGCAGTCTCAAGGGTCCCGGGTTCGATTCCGGTCAAGGGCATGTACCTTGGTTGCGGGCACATCCCCAGTAGGGGGTGTGCAGGAGGCAGCTGATGGATGTTTCTCTCTCATCGATGTTTCTAACTCTCTATCCCTCTCCCTTCTTCTCTGTAAAAAATCAATAAAATATATTTTAAAAATCTTTTAAAAAATAAAAAGATGTGGTATCAAGGAAAAAATAACAAGATCAGCAACACGACGTTTGAGGTAAATGGTAAAACATGGATGTGAGGATGCATCAGAATGGCTGCTGATGGGGAAGAAGGGAACCGCAGGGGAGAATCCAAGCGAGCAGGACAGACACTGGGCCAAGGAAGAGGAGACGGGGTGGGGTGGGGGTGGGTGGTGCATCCCATCCCAGACACGGAGGCCTTGTAGTAAATTCCCGATGGCACAGCTGGGAAGTTAGGGTGCTATCGCCACCCACCACACCCCACCTGGGAGCTCAGGCAAATGCTCTGTGTTGTATGAGACAGGACAGAGTAGCAGTTGCATCCGTCAGACTTACTATCAGAAAAAAAGATAAGAAGCATAGTAATATCTCTCTTTTTTTAAAAAAAATATTTTTATTGATTTCAAAGAGGAAGGGATAGAGAGAGAAAAACATAAATGAGAGAATCATTGATCGTCTGCCTCCTGCACGCCACCCACTGGGGATCAAACCCACAACCCAAGTGTAATTTTTATTGATTTCAAAGAGGAAGGGATAGAGAGAGAGAAAAACATAAATGAGAGAATCATTGATTGGCTGCCTCCTACACGCCACCCACTGGGAATTAAGCCCACAACCCAAGTGTGTGCCCCGACTGGGAATTGAACCGTGATCTCCTGGTTCATAGGTTGATGCTCAACCACTGAGCCATGCTGGCTGGTTAACATCTCTACAGGTAAGGCACGCCAGAAAGAAACTCAGAAAATCCAAAAATTTTAACCGGATATTTCATCGGGAGCTAAACGGAGTTAGAGAAGTGGTAAAAGTTATGACAGAGCATCCTGCATTAGAAATGGGGAAGATTTCTTTTTACTGAAATCATTGGAAAAAATGAAGATTTGAAAGACCACTGGTAGCCGGCTGGCGTGGCTCAATGATTGAGTGTTGACCTATGAACCAAGAGGTCATGGTTCGATTCCTGATCAGGGCACATGCCCAGGTTGTGGGCTTGATCCCCAGTGTGGGGCGTACAGGAGGCAGCCGATGGATGATTCTCTGATCGTTGATGTTTCTCTCTGAAATCAATAAAAATACATTTTTCTAAAAGAGACCACTGGTACAACTTAGGAATAAAGGACAGATTTCTAAAGGAGGGTGAGACGCAGGCGTAACAGAGGAGGCGTCCGTCATGTGTTCACAGAATGATTGTGGGTCACCCTGTTGGTGAGGAGCCTGCCGTGGATCAGGTTTGGGGTGAGCAGGAGTCGGGCCACTGGAGTGGGGATTTCAAGGGCCACACGTCTGGATGTGGCTCTTATGTCCTGTCCTCAGAAGGTGCAGCCTGGTCCCCTCCCTGGAGTGGGGCCACCACTCCCCCCCTTGGCCATCATCACTGAGGACACCCGCCCAGTCCCAAGAGATGTGGTGAGGGTGGGGGAGGCTGTCTAGACTCAGGCTGCAGGGGCCAAACCACTTGTCCGCCAGGCCAGGGTTTCCAGCAGCTCACCAGCCATCCCTGACGACCAGACCCAGCAGTACTGACCCCCTTCCTGAGGTCATCAGGGAGCCGCCAGCCCTGCCCGTCCTGGAGAACTTGTTCCTGTTTGTCCCTAATCCTGCCTGCTGTGCTGTGTCCCCCCAGCCCCTCCAGTTTAGCCCCTGGGACTGTGAGGTCCTCACACGTCCAGCGCGGATGACACTGGCTTCTCCTCTGAGGCCCGAGTAGCCCCTCCATGTGCCCAGAGCCCAGACCATGGGTGAACCCGGGGATCCAGCAGCTGCCGGGGGCTGTGGGCAGGAGCAGGCTGGTCTACATCCTGCATCCTAGCGTATGAGGCAGCAGAA